TATATATAGAACTGGAGGTCGCTGGAACAGAATGTTGCTACTCGGAGTTTCACGCTATTGCGATCGTCAGGCAACTGATCTTATATATATATATATATATATAATTTACATAGATTTTAATGTGATGACAACATAGAGAGGATAATTTTGTTGAGGCATATTGATAGTAATAATAGTGTTCTAATTTTCATATAACTATGTTCTACAGAGCCACATACTCCAGAAAACCTGAAAATTATCAGTTACAGTGAGAAAGATGTCTCTTTTGCCTGGACTGACAAGGATTGTACGTCTTGTTTTTATCGTGTTCAATGCATTGCTTTTATGGATGGCTTGAGTTTCTACGATGATCTTTGGAGCAAAAATATAACTTCATACTATGAGTATTCATGTAATGATCTGGTTCCAGGTGAATTGTACACAATCACTGTCACCAGTCTAATTAATAATGACCTTAGCTTCAGATCACCTTCACTATTTATCCAACAGCGGACAGGTAAGTAACGGCTTTAGTTTATTTTGGCAGTTTTAATTCGCATCATTATTTTGATAAACTTAACACCCTGAGCTCTGTAGACGGGCTTTAAGCAATATATATTACCATTATATTACACTTGTATGCATGGTTATGACATGAATGCGTAAACCAGTTCCGGTAAAACGTTGCTTTGTGTCGATGTAATTTATGAATTGTAGCAACACATTCCTTTGTCACAAAGTGTGTAGACCGGGCTTAACCAACCAACCTTAGTAATGTAAGTATTATAGTTTTGCATGGCGAATTTAAACTGATGGTATTTTGACCTGCGGAAAACCGTTTTGATTGTAATATCCCAACGTTTCCCTTATTATACTTAAACCGTTAAGTACTAGGCCTAGGCTAATTTTATCTGTGTATACAAATTAAGCAGGCCATACCCTAGCTGTGGCGAATCCAGGGGGGTTCAAGGGGTTCGGACGAACCCCCCTCTGTAATGAAACGTAACAAAATATATAGAATGGGTCCTGGCTTAAAAAAAATAGGTTTGCAGATCGCACAAAGTGGGCTTTAGCCCAATTAGTATTTAATTAAATACAATTAAAACACTGTTTGTGGCTCGATTGATCAATAAAGAAAGACATCTTATTATCCAACTACTCAATATTGTTGGAATATAGGCATAATTAATAATGTATTGACTATATCTTTGATTTTCTTCTATGGTATAAAAAGAATGAGATAAAATCACTTCAATTTTTAAGACAGGTAAAACCTTGAATTTTGAAGAAATTAAAGGTCATTAAAAGACACCTCAGAAGTCGAGAAAACTCATTTCCGGCTATCTTGGAATCAAATTTTTTTCTCGGGGGGAGAAACCCCCCCTGACCCCCCTTTCATTTCCGGATTTTTGGGGAAAATTTTGAACCCCCCTCTTTCAAATTCTGGATCCGCCCCTGCCTATGCCCTAGCTTAGCCGATTCCACCTGGTACAGGTTCCCCTGTCCACAGCTATGCCGAATAGACAGGACCTAGCCGGCCAAGAAAACAATGCATTTTTTCCTGTCAAGGTTAACCTGACCCTATACTATTTTAAATAAGCTTGACGCAGGGTTCCCGGAACACAACTCAGAATCAGAAGTGGAACGTGAAATTTCTTCTTTTTTTTTGGTTTTTGTTTTTTTTTTTGTTTTTTTTTTATTGCTTTTAACATACATAAAACAACATAATATAATATAATGCAATATTACAATACACAATCTCATCTTCTAAAAAATAAATCCAAAACCAATATAATATACTGTACTGTAATATAAAATGAAATTAAAATTAAGTAAAAATTTAACTAATATATACATATATATATATATGTATATATATATACATACATATATATATATATATACATACACACACATACATATACATACATACACACATACATACACACACCTACACATATACATACATATACACACACATATATATACACACACACACACACATGTACATATATAAATAATAAATAAATAAATAAAATTAAAATAAAATTACACACAGAGGGAAAAAAAGATAA